TGCGCCGCCCCGGCAAAATGCAACTGATTTGACCATCAAAGTGCATTTATTAAGTAAAAGTTCAACTGAGACACACCTTTGCTATAATGTGGAGCAAACAAATCATTGTTTTTAAGTGTTAATCTTGTTAAATTCTTGTTAAAGTCCTGTGCATGCTCCTGCGGTCGCCATTTGGCAACCAATTGATTTTTGGCACAACACCGGCCCACATTTCTGGGTTGTCAGCGGTGATGCATAAACGCGACGCGTCAGCGGTGACGCATAACAGATGCGACTTATACGGCGAAGCGACATATATATACATATATATATATATATATAGTTTTTTTCCTTCCATTTTATTAGACATATTTGGACTGATGCGACTTATACGGCGGTGTATACGTATAGCGACGTGTACGGCGGAAAGTATGTGCTCACAGAGTAGTTCCACCCCTCACGTAAGTCATGTGATCACGTCTAACCAATTGTGGCCATGGATGAAAGGTAGAAGCTGCACTGACTTCCTCTCAGTCAGATAGATGGCTGGAGTAGGACCTGGATGCAGTGAACAACAGGGGGCGATGTGTATATATGTGGATGGATGGGGGAAGCATGTTGATGGCTACTACCAGGTCTGTTTTTACAAACAATTTGATATTTTGGTCTCTAAAGTGTTTCTGCTGTTTTATTTGACTAAGTGTATTGATGTAAAACCTTTAGACCAGACGACCAACACACAGAGGGACGTTTTCATCTGTTTAAGTGTGAAATTATCTTGGAATTGGCGATTCTGAATTGTTTTAGCATTAGCTGCTAGTGCTTAGCTTTTAGCAGACCCACTGCTGTTTGTATTGCATTGTATGCCTATTCTGGATTATTTGTTGTGCAAACACTGAACAAAATTATTGTAAATGTTAATAATGTATTTATTTGGGATTTATTAGTTTTATTTTGGATTTGTGTTATGTGTACACATGGTCAAGCTAGGATTTGTTATTAGCTTGATTTATAGAACCTTACAAGTCCTGTTTGTCTAATACAGGTGAGGTGGACTCGGATGAACTTGGATTAACTCAAACCTGTCAATCAGCTTGGAGGTTTGTGGATGGCAAGCTAACTGCCCAGTTAGGAGTCTGGGATCCCAGCCTACAAATGAACTCGTCCTATGGTCTGGTAGGAGGCTGATACAGCCCAAGGTCCCATCTCATTTAGCTTTGCTCACATAAAAAACAGCTTCCAACACACTTTCCTCTTGCTTGAACTCATACGACCTCTTAAAACCTCCATGAACATCCTAAACTCTACAAACTCGTACTCGGGGACACGGCTCGTTTGTCACAGTTGATGATGGACGTTTCCTTTATTTATTTATTTCCCGACAAGGCCTTGCATTGATTTTGGTTTCTGTCTCTTGCAATAGTATTTAAGTGCACTTAAGAACAATAACTGCTGCAGCAATTTGTACATCATTTATGGTATTTGGTTTATTTTTGTTGACTATTTATTTTACACGTTGTTGTCATTGCTTTCAGTTTATTATAGTACATGGTACCATCAGAAAACTATTTTACTACATTTTTGCTGAGTTTGGATTTCACAGCATTTTGTGACAATTACCTACCTAGCCTTTTAGCTTTTAAACTTTTAGTTATCCTTTAAATTTCTTTAAGTTCTTCTAGCTTTTAGTTAGCCTTTTTTTTACAATTAGTTTTTGCCAAGCCTTTTGCTCCTTTTAGATTTTAGCTAGCCCTTTGTTACATTTAGCTTTTTAAACTTTTGCTAGATTTAGCCTTTACTCTATCTTTTCCTACCATTAGCTTTTACCCAGCCTTTTGCTCATTTTAGCTACCATTGAGCTATTTTTTAAATTTGCCTTTTGCTACATTTAGCTTAAATATGACCTTTTGCTAGACTTAGCTTTTACTTAACCTTTTGCTCCTTTTAGATTTTAGCTAGCTTTTTGCTACTTTTAGGCTATTTGTCTAAGCTTTAAATGTTAAATGTACCACACTTAACATTTACCTAACCTTTTGCTACATTCAGTTTTACTTGGCCTTTTGATCCTTTTAGCTAGCATTTTGCTCAATTTAGATTTTAGCTAGTCTTTTGCTACATTTAGCTTTAACATTTGCTCCTTCTAGCTTTTAGCTAGCTTTTGCTGAATGCTAAATGTACCTAAGCTTTTTTAGCTTTTACTTAAACTTTTAGTTCGGATGAGGCCAAATAAAAGTTTCACGTGTTTGATTTATCAGCTATAAACAGATTTGTACTGAGTCCTAAAAATAAGGAACAAAGTGGATTTTTTATAAATCCAATGAGGCAGTTTCAAATTTTTTCTCCAGCTCAGTAACATAAAAATGCCAGCTTTAAAGTCAACTTAATGTTTTTTCTTTTGAGGAACCTTTTAAAAAGAGGAACTGTAAAGTGTCTTAACTCTTACCGGAGCTTAGTTTGGTTTGGAAACTGATCCCAGACCAGATCTGGGGCTCTTTAGGAACAAGAACGAGTCAAAAGTTCGGCTTTTGTGAAAACAGCCTCTGCTTCCTGTCTTGACTTAAATGTGACAAAACTTTAGCTTTTTGTCCTTTAAAACCTGAAACATGACAAAACACAACCATTGAAGAACATTTGAAATAAATTAGTCTCGCAGGAAAGTATTTTCTTGATCTGAAAAAATAAAACGGGAAGTTTAAAGTAATATTTATATTACTGGTATCTATAATAAGAAATTGAATAAATCTTATTTTTAATTGAGCCAGAAAGCATTCTTTTCTATTTAATATATTCACATGAGAAAACCAAATCTCAACAGCTGCTATGGAAAAAGGGGTGGTAATTGCTAGTTGGTCTGTGTTAGCAAAATATCTCGCCAAATATTGGACAAATTCAAATGAAACTCATGTCATCAATGGATGAACATCTACAACTGGTAAATTTGGAAGCCAACTTAATTCAAGATGGCCGCCACAGCTGATCGTCATATCAAACACAAAAATGGCTACAGCGTAATCATTTTTACAGAAGACGAGCTAAAGTTTGGTGTGGTAGTAGCTGAGAGTCATCCCCAACTCGTACTCCGAGTGCTAACAAATCGTGCTGGCTCTGCGTTTAAAATTGGAGAAGACGCGCAGCACGGAGAGAACATGCAGGCTCCACCTAGAATGCCCTCCACCAGTGGGGATTTGATCCAGTGACCTTCTCACTGAGAGGCGGCAGCTCAACCAACTGAGCCACCGTGCCCCCCCCCCCCCCCCCCCCCCCCAATATGAAAAATACACATTGTGTGCGCACACGATGCAAAGCTGCTCCCCGCCGGTCAGTAACGTGCGCCAAAGTAAAGGTCGTAAGAAAAGTAACCAGACTATTCACACTGTCAAGTCAAGTCAAGTCATCTTTATTTGTAGAGCACAATTTAAAACAGATAAACTGTTATCAAAACTGAGCTCAGATATGAAGAAGACAAGGGCAGGGCTTGAACCCAGGACCTGGATGCTGTGAGGCATCGGAGTTAACCACTAATCCATCGTGCTGCGTTTGAGGTTTAGCGTTTGACAGGTTCAGGTGTGCAGGCTGCACGCAGACGACGACTTATCTTCTCCAAGGCTTGTAAATATCAGTGGTGGACATGTTTTACTTTAAACTGTGGCAGCAGTGGGTCCTCCGAGATGTGGACTTTACATGTTCTTCCCATGCACACATTGTCCAAGTACTCCTGTTTCCTCCCACACATGCCTGTTAAGATCACTGGTAACTCTAAAGTGTCCCTTGGCATGAGTGAGAGAGTGGACAGTTGTTTGTCTCTGTGTGTCCCTGTGATGGACTGGAGACCTGTCCAGGTGTCCCTGTGATGGACAGGAGACCCGTTATCATCCAGCTGATTTACGTTTGTTGAATTCATCCATCCATCCATCCATTTTCTTTACCCGCTTATTCCATTTCGGGTCACGGGGGTCGCTGGTGCCCATGTCCAGCAATCACTGTGCGAGGGGCGGGGTACACCCTGGACGGGTCGCAAGTCCATCACAGGGACACATAGAGACAAACGAGACAAACAGCCATTCACTCTCTCACTCACACCTAGAGACAATTTAGAGTTACCAATCAGCCTAACATGCATGTTTTTGGTCTGTGGGAGGAAACCGGAGTACCCGGAGAAAACCCACGCATGCACGGAGAGAACATGCAAACTCCACCCAGAAAGGCCCCTGGACCGGGGTTTGAACCAGGGACCTGCTCGCTGAGAGGCAGCAGCTCTACCAGTTGCGCCACCGTGCTGCCCGTTTGTTGAATTCAACTGACATTAATTATCAATTCTATTAATTGTTAAAAGATTACGATCAACTGGCGCCACAGATCCAGCTGGGCTTGCTGGTGATCAAATCGTTGATGTTGGTCTCTTTGGACGCCATCTTGGCTCCTCCCACGACGTCGCAGGTGGAGGCAGTGGGCGGGACAGGAAGTGCTGTCTGATTGAACTCGATGTTTGCCGCAGGCTCGTGCTCACACGGAGAGAAATACGAACCACCTCCTGTCAAACCCAAACTGTATGAACGTTTATCTTGCATGTGATAAATTGCCCATATTCATGTTGCCATGGAGACCATGCCTGCTGAACATATTGGAGGCGGAGCAGATGGGCTCTTCGGCTGTTTTAAAGAGAACTGAAGGCGAAGCCCCGAGTTCCACCAGCCAGTTTAGACATGAATCTCAGAACCTCCACTGGTTCTGGAGCCTTAATGTCCTCTCTCAGCTTCCGTACTAATGCCTTTTTCTCTTAACAGCTGTTTGTTTTTAGGATTTGGTTATTTTTTTCTCTTCCAACAGTTTTTTTGTTTGTAAAGTGTCATCATGTTTGTTTTGTCTCCATCATGTGGTTTAAAAAAAAAAACGAAACACGTCGCATCACTGGACAGAATCTGATTCAAGGAAAGTTCTGTTTATGTTTATCTCATTTTGCAGTTTAGACCCTTTAATAGCTTTTTAAATGTTACAATTGATAAAAAAAAGAAGGTCACCAGTAAATTTGTAATAACTCGTTTAATTTCCTGAACAGTTTCAATAAAAGGCGACATTACACGTATTTTCCTTCACATTTCACATTTCCCTTCCCATCATCATCGCCTGAACCGATTATGAATGTTTGATTTTAAACAGGAACCCTCAGAACCACGGCTCCCAGCCCGCCCAGACCCGGCCCAGCACGTTTGGGTCCATGGCCTGGTCCAGCAGGCAGTCCACCTGCTTCTCCACAGACAGACCTTCAGCTGGAAGCTTCGCCCGAACGTTGTGCTCCTCCGACCCCAGAGCTACGGCCTGCATCCCCGGGAACGCCGCGTCCTTTTCAAAACCCAGCTTCAGCTCCTCGCTGATTAAAAAAAACAACCAAACACACAGAAGCAGACCTAAATGATCAGACGGTCACACTTTAGCTGATTATTGTGAACCCAGAGATTAAACGATAAGTGAAGAACCGAGAAGAGTGACGGGAAGAAAGTCCACCCTGTACTCGTTCAACATTTCACCTTTGGGATCCTGTGAAAATGCAGTGAATGCTTGTTGCAGAAGAACTTGCTGAAAAACGGCTAAAATCAGTTAAAAATATGCTGAAAAATAGCTGAAATGGATGAACAGAAGAAAGCAGAAAGAACATATTTGCTGAATTAGGTTTAAAAAAGCAGAAGTGAGTAAAAAAACGAGGAAATTGGCTAAAAGAGCTGAAATTAGCAACAAAATAGCTGAGAAGTAGCTGAAAAGGCAGAAAGCAGCTTAAACTAGAAGGAAGTGGAAGGAGCTGAATTGAGCTTCAAGAATGTGTAATTAGCTAAAAAAGCTACATAGCATTAAAAAAGCTCAATAGTAGCTGAAACTAGCAGAAATAAGCTGAAAGGAGTGACATGATGAAATTAGCAGAAAATAGTTAATTAGGCTGAAAGTTGCAGAAATTACCACGAAAACTTGAAAGTACAGTTCAGCAAGGCGTGAACACAAAAAAAAAGACGTGTCTATACGTAGAGTATTTCGAGAGAGAATTATAGTAAATGTTTTGAACGGGTTTAAAAATTCATAGACAAGAAAACGAGCGAGACTAACTTTTAAAGCCCAGTGAGAAACTGGCTGAAACACTTCCTGGACCAATATTTCTATCAGAACAACCGCGTAAAAGATTTAGACTTGACCCCTCTCAGAGAAGTCGTCAGCTCATCGGTCCAGTAAGAACGGAACTATTTCTCCATCTACAACAGGTAACGTATTAAATGTTCCTAACTGCTCCACATAACCTCACTTTAAAAGCTCTGAACTATCCCTTTAAGAATCCTCATCATCCTGCTTCCGACTGACCAATCACAGAACCTGATCCGGTGGTACCTGGTTATAGCAGCTGGATTCGCTCCTTCTAGTTTCCTCCTGGCGAAGTTGACTTTCTGCAGGGGGAACCAGTTGATCTCCTTAGTGTTCACGCTCTCGGTCCACGTTCCAGCTTTCTTCAGCTGTTTCACCTCAAAGTTCTGACAAATTACGAGTACATTTAAAATGGTCAAACGCCGTGGTTTTTAGTGGCAGCAGCAGAATTTCAAATCCTTTAAACTTTAGCTGTTGTTGCTGTTTTACCTTCCAGTCCAGCAAGGGTTCTTTAACAAATACGTCCATGGTGTTCAGCAGAAGGTCCGGCTCGGCCCGGTAGGCTCTCAGAGAGTGGATCATGATGCTCTGGATCAAACCGGACTCCTTCAGGGGTTGCATCAGATTCAAGAACTGTTGGGTCAGCCGGAAAGGCATGAGCTCCGGCACGGGAAGAAACTGGAAGCAAAACACAATTTTTACTCTTTGTACTAATGTACTGCCATTTTCAGCTTTTAGCTAGTGTTTAGCTACTTTAGGATTTTAGTTTTTTGCTACTTAAGAGGTTTTTTTTGCTATTTTGGGTTTTAGCACTATTGGTATTTTGAGTTTCAATCTAATGTTTTGATCATTTTAGCTTTTAGCTAAAATTCTGCTACTTATAGCTTTTAACTAAACTATTGATATTTTAGCTAATTTTTGCTGCTTTTAGCTAGCGTTTTGATACTTTTAGCTAATGTTTTGATACTTTTAGGTAAAATTCTGCTACTTATACCGTTTAGTTAAAGTTCTGATGCTAAAAGCTTATAGCTAACCTATTGATATTATGCTTTTATTTTAGCTAGTGCTAGCTACTGTTTAGCTGTTTTTAACTAGTGTTTTGCTTCTTTAATCTTTTACAACTCAACTTCAGCTTCTTTAGCACATTTCAGCTGTCATTCAGGTTCATTTTAGCAGAAAGAGTCATTTCTCTACGTTCATGTAGATATTTTAGCCTTTTTTCTTACACTCCCTTCGCCTGTTGTGTGGTTATCGCAGCACAAACAAACGTTTGAGGCACAAACTGAATCCCGACCTGCGTGGCCGACCCAAAGGCGTGGCCGAAGTCGATGCCAATCATGCCGCCTGTTTCCGTGTTGATCATGAAATTGGACAGGTGGCGGTCTCCGATGCCCAGGATCCAGTTGCTGATGCAGAGCAGAGCGTGGGAGCTGATGAAGTGGGAGCGCAGGGAGAGGAAGGCCTCGGGGCTGCTGCACATCTTCAGGAAGGCTCTCCTACAAATTAAAAACAGGAAGTCGAACACAGCCGCTCGTCTCCATCAGAAGCTTCGTTTTATATTACTTACTTCAGCAGATCACTCGGCACCTGCTGCAGGACTTTCAGGAAGTTGTTCACGGCATCGGCACGTTTGGCCTTCCTGTTCAGAACAAAAGAATTCATATCACCCGCCATCCTTCATGCAGGAGTTTCAAAATAAAACCATTTTATGCTGAGACATGACAAAGTTGAAGCCGTTTGGGTCAAACCTAAAAAAATAAAAAAAATAAAAAGTTACGCACCAACTCGTGCAATTTGACGGGACCTTGTGCAGATTGTTGACGCTTGGGGACAACTCTCAACTACTACCACACTAAATTTTAGCTAATTATCTATAAAACTGCTCGAATTTTGGCTGTTTTTGTGTTTACCAAAGTTAGCCAAGGTGGCCATCTTGAATCCAACGGCTCCAAAAGTTCAGTCATCAGTTTTTATTTCTAAGAGTTCCAATACAATCCATCCAGTGGTTGATCAGATATTATGCTAACAGGCATGTGAACACACACCGGCAGTGAGTTTGCAGTTATAATAAGTTTTAGTCGCATGGTACAATATTCAGCCATCTTACCTGTAAGCCAATCCATAGAGGAAAATATTATTAGTAGAAGCAGAACCGAAGTTTGAGAGCCAATCGTGGTAGATTTCAGCACATCTAAAAACAAAAAATACTCATAAATACCCGTAATAATTCTGAAATTATGAAAATATTAGTGCAAAAGCAATTTTACTTCTTCAGCAAGGGAAAACAAATCTTTTAAATTTATTTTCATGTTCTGGTAAAAATTAAACCAGTAAATAAATCCTCTTGAGCATCTATGGTAGTAGATAAAACGTGAACGCAGTGTACTGCACCTCCCTGCTCTTTGCTGCTCCTCGTCTGTCATGGTGTTGTACAAAAACTCCTTCAGAGTACACGTGTTCTCCATCCATTCAATCAAACCAATTCTAAAAACATTAAAAAAAAATTCAGTTAAATTAATAAATAGGATTTCTAATTATTAGGAGTTCAAATAAAAAGAAGCAAAGCAGAACTTTATTCTTTTGTTTATGTCCCAATTTTTAGTTTAATTCTTTTTAGTAATAAAAAAAATATGCATCAAAACGTGATGCTTAATCAGAAATACAATGTTATGTATTTTAGTACATAAGTATAATACAATGTTGACAAAATAAGCATAAAACAGCCAAAAATGTCCCCATAAATGTTTGAGGACATATGACATGTTATGTAAGCTCAGAATTTTCTCGTCAAAGTTGAAAGAAGAGTATCTTTTATTTGTCATATTTCTTAAATAATACACTAGCGATAAATAAAAATTATGTACAAGTCCAGCAAAAGTTTATGGCGTTCACAGTTCGGCCTGTCACGATAACAAATTTTGCTGGGCGATTAATTGTCTCAGAAATGATTGCGATAAACGATTGTTTGAAATTCGACAATAATTAGTAATTGTCAAATTACCTTTTTTTGACCACCAGATGGAAGTATAAGACTGTTTGAACCAAAGGATGGATAGTGAGGGAGCAAGCAGCGTGTCTCTTTAAGAAAAATGGGAGGGAGGCCCCTTGACATGACATGGGCTGTCTCTCCTTCCAGTTTTTTGGTTCTCAAAATGGCGGACGCTCGGTGAGGTTTGAGTTCTTTAGCATAGCATTTGTCACACAAAGCTTTTAATAAAAAAAAATCAGTAAACAAGTTCTCAACTTCTTTTTGCAGAGAAAAACAACTTTTTACACAAAGGCACGGGTTTCAACCGTGAATTTTGGAGCTTCGACAAGACGGAGTTTTTTTCCCCGAGGTCAGCCTGTTAGCTTAGCTCGTAGCTTAGCTTCTCAGCTTAGCTGCTTTTAACTATCCAAAAACGCAATTTTGGATGATTAAAACAGATTTTAAAGAGAGAAAAGAACGGGAGGTGTCAGTGAAGAGCACTGGAGTTGAGCTTTTTGTCATCCAGTGTCTTCAGTACAAAGAGAGAGACACGAAGAAACGATAAAGCCGATAAATGAAAACGGTCGATAATTTTCATTTATCATGCGATTAATTGATTTGTTTATCGCGACAGGCCTACTCGCAGTTCAAGAATACAACTTTTTTTTTTTAAGTAACAGTTTCTTTGAGGCTCAATTTCCATTTGTGTTTCTGTCAACCTAAAAAAGAATGGTGTGCGCTCCGCCTCGCCACCTGCTACCCAGAAAAGAAGGGAATTGCCATGGCAACTAGTGAGTCAGCCGATTATTAGTCTTTGGTTAAATAATTCAGCAGGTTCTTAAATAGGATCAAGGGCTTTGCCTCCCCACTTGCGCTCCAAAAACAGCGGGAAATACCAAAGAAATTGGGACTCTGCAGATTCCAAGTCACTTGTGATATTATTTAGCAGGTTCTTGAATGCTGTATGCTCCACCCCCACACCTGCACCCTAGAAAAGGCGGGAATCACCTTGGCAACTAGTGACTCAGCAGACTCTGAATCGTTAGTTATATTAATTATACTACCGGTAGTTCCCTTAAAACAAACGAATGAATAAAAAGCATAAAAAACAAACAGGAAAAATGGGAAAATGTTTTAAACTGGAGTTTTAAAAGAAAGCTGGTAGATATTTTTCAAAATAAGAGTCTGGGCCGTAAGCTGCGTTGGCCTCCTTTTAAATTTCTTCTCAATTTTGAATTTTTTTTAATTTTGTGCGAAGGGTGTCAATGTGTAATTGACCAATGACGAATCATATTAGTTACTGTAATTCTTAAAGAGATAACCGTGTTATTTCTTATACACATGGTGTCACCGACGAAGAAAATAAAATTGAGTTCAATTAAGTTTCATTTCATCCCTTCTCACAGTCAGCTGGTGTTAAGGCAAAGATCAGGTGGGTCAAGTACCTGGTAGTTATGGGAATGACCTGGTAGGTGTGGAGCTGCAAGCCTCGCTGCGTGCAGCTCGTATCATGACTCAGCACAATGTTCATGACGGCGAAAAGCTGCTCGATGCGTTGGTCCTGACGCAGATCCTCGCTGCCCTTCACCAGAAAGGGGTGGTCCCGCTCATCGTCCCCGCGGATGATCAGACGTTTGGGGCGACGCATCGAAGACATCACCTTAACCTGCGGGGCAGAAACGACCTTTGACCCGACCAGCACACAACCCAGATTATTAAACGTAACACCGATAAAAGCTCACCCGTTCATCGAAGCCGGTTATCTTTGCGTGATACTCCGGTAATGGTTTCGATCTGCCGTCATATTGTCCTACAACAAGAGGGGGGGGGGGCTTTAATTTTAATTACAAACCATATGATACAATATAACATTAAAACCACATATTTAGACAAAGTAAATAAAAACAAACAAATCTGCTGACCTGGAACCTCCAGCTCGTTACCGAACGGGTCGGCTTTAAACCCACTCAGCCAGGGCGAGTACTCCTTCAGGTTCCCCGGTTCCTTCTTGTTAGTAAAGTTACGCATGGACCCTGCCAGCTTATCCACCTGTCCCACAAGGGTTTTGTCATTCTTCTTCTTAAACAGGTTGCTCCCGTCAGGTCCCAACAGCTTCTCCACATCTTTGGAAAATTTCTGCAAAGAACACGATAAAAATAAAAATCGGTTTTGCTTATTTTTCTGTAGTTGGGGTTTGCAAAATGCAGTAGGTTGTTACAAATACTAACAGTGTTCACTAAGAATCGAGCAAAAACAGATCAACCATCTATCAAAACATTAGCTATACTTAATTTAAAAAGGCAAAGAAATGAGGACTGACGCCAAGTTGAGGGTTCTTTGTATAAAAGTTAAAGTACACCGCTTGTCTAAAAAGAAAACATAAATAATATACGTTTAACTGGACTCCAACCACAGCTCCTGGAGGTTTTTACCTCCCAAAACACGTACAGTTGTGAGAAACAGAAGAACTTTAAACACCACAAACTCTAAAAGAATACATCTTGTATACATACAGCAAATGTACGGAGATGTAAAACTTTCCCAAATCACTAATTTTTCCTTCAGCAGTCATGTGTGTATTGCTTTGACCTGAGAAGTACTGTAGTAAAAATACTGCCCTCTGTAGTAGAAGCGCAGGGCAGGAATATACTGGTAAATGTATTCTCCTCCCTAGTTTCTATTCTGGAAAACCAGCTCAAACTTACATTTAGTCCCACTTTAGTTCCTTTACCAACCAAAAATACATCAGAAAGACCAAAAGTACTAGGTTTGGTTAGAAGCTGTTACTTTATACAGGATGTGCATGTTTTATTTTAAAGACCAAACCTGAACGAATCTCTTGCGAAACATCCCATGTCCGTCGGCGCTCCGATCCCCGAGCTGGGAGCGCATCTCCTCGTACATGTCACTCATCTGCTTCTGGTCAAAGGTCGGCTTCTCCAGTTCGTTTTTCACGATGTCCCACCAGTCCTGTGAGAGTAATAATACTTCACGTCAGTCCAAAACTTTGCAGAGCTGGCAGAATTATTGTGTGAATGTTTATGAAGCATTGGCACGATTGTGAAATATTTTTCTTCCGTACGTTTTTCTGCATATTTTTCACTCCACAATTTTTGTTCTTTTTCAACAAATCAGAAATCAAAACGTTCGGCTCATTCAGGCGAAGGGTGCTCTGACTTTTGGTGTTGGTGCAACTTTAGCTTTTTGAAATATTTAGCATTTTCTGCTAATTTTATTTCGCATAGAAAATTAATTGAGCTCATTTTACATCCGTCAAAATGTTTAGATGTGTTCACAACCTTTTACTGCTCCTTTCACTTTTTTATCTGCTTCAGCTTCTTTCAGCTTCCTTCTGCAAATTTAAACGTTTTTTTTTCAGCTACTTTCAGCTGTTTTGTGCTCCTTTTAGATTCTTTCTACCAACTACAAAATTTTTGTGCTTCTTCTAACTTCTTTCTGCTAATTTCAGTTTATGCTCCTGTCAGCTTATTTATGCAAGTTTCAGCTTTTTCTGCTATTTCAGGTATAATTTAGCTGTTTTATGCTAATTTTAGCTTTTTTGGCTAATTCCACATTTTTTGCACTAATTTAAACTTTTATCAGCCCAATTCAACAAAAACGTGCCCTCTTCGCTTCCTTCTGGTAATTTAAGCTTCTTTCTGATTTTGTAGCTACTTTACAGCGGTTTATTTTATTTTTTATTTCTGCATTTTTTCAGATAATTTCCACTTTTTGGTGCTCATTTCTGATTCTTTAAACCTAAATAGGCAAACGTGTTCTTTCTGCTTTCGTCTGCTAATTGTTCTACCTTTTCAACTAGCTTTTTAGCATATTTTAGCTAATTTCAGCTGTTTTCAGATAAATTCAAGTTTTTGTGCTCATTTCTGCTACTTTCAGCCTAATTACATTACTTCTGCTAATTTCAGCTTGTTATGCTCCTTTCAGCTTTTTTCTGCTAGTTTCAGTTATTGCAGCCACTATTTAGCTGTTTTATGCCAATTTTAACTTTTCAGCCAATTCCAGATTTTTTGCAATAATTTCAACTTTTCAGCAAAATTCAGCAAAAATGAAAAAAAAACTTCCTTCTGGTAACTTGAGCTTCTTTTTGCCGTTTTAGCAAGTTTTTAGCAGTTTTTTTTGTTTTGCCAATTTCAACTTTTTTCAGATAATTTCCACTTTTTCCTCCTTTCAGCATAAATAAGCAAACATCTAGTTTCTGCTTTCTTCTGCTAATTTAAGCTTTTCTACATTTTCAGTTAGCTTTTAGTATTTTTAGCTAATTTCAGCTGTTTTCAGATAAAGTTTTTCGTGATAATTTCTGCTACTTTCAGCCTAATTAACTTCTTTATACTAATTTCAGGTTGTTATGGTCCTTTCAGCTTTTTTCTGCTAGTTTCAGCTTTTCCTGCTCTTTCAGCTACTATTTACTGGTAGCTCTTTTGATGTTAATTTCAGCTTTTTCAGCTAAATCCACATTATTTTAAGCTCATTTTATTTCTTTCCACTTCCTTCTGGTACTTTAAGCTTTTTTTTTTTTTATCTTTTCAGCTACTTTTCTGCTATTTTTGCTCATTTCAGCTTTTTTTTTTGTTGTTAATTTCATAATTTCTGTGCTCATATCTGCTTATTTAAACTTAATTCAGCAAATGCATGTTCTTTCTGCTTTCTTCTGCTCATTTAGGCTTGTTTTTCCATGTCAGCTACATTTCAGATTTTTTTTTAGCTAATTTCAGCCATTTTTCAGCAAGTTCTTCTGCAATTAGCATTCATGCTGCATTTTCACAGGAAATTCAATTTCTCTAGTTGTTAGTTGTTTTCAGTACCTTAAAAATCATCTCAGGGTTTGTGAGCTGCTGAAGGGCGTCCACAAAGTTCCTCACAGCGCCGCCTTTATCCAGCAAGCTCCTGAGCCTGTTGACACAAACACAATTCTCTAAACGGAACAGAGGTTTTGAAATACAAAAGTAATTTGACAGGATACCTGTTAACATATTCCCTCTGCTGGTGACCCGTAGCCGAGTCCTCGAACCGGTAACTCTCGCTGCTGATCATGAGAGCGTAAACCAGAGCCTGAGGGTAGAACTCTGCTATCTGCCCAACGCAGCGCTGCACCGCCACGGCTTCAGGCTTGTCCAGCAGAGCCACCATTTGACTGATCCAGCTGATCAGGATCCAGCAGGGAACGGACGCCATCTGACCACAGACAGACAGGAAGTTCACAACCGGGAAACGGACTGCGTCCAACGATTACGGAGCTCCGTCTTTCTTGGTGGTTTTCTTTGATGAGACCAACAGATATACTTTAGTTCAAGATGCAGATTTTTAAATAAAATTACACGACTGAGAAAGTAAACTAAAGGTAGTGATTCATAAAACACCCTGATGTATTTCTGGTACGTATGCAAAACTTGCCATCTACTTATCTAGTATTTAACTGGTACTTAACAGATACTATCTGGTACAACCCCAAAATTTACCTGGTACATACCAAGTACCTAGTACTCAGCAAGTACCAAGGTTTTACAGAATACTAACCAGGTAATGACAAAGCACGTACAAGGTACCTACCTAGTATGTACTCCGTAAGTTACTGGTAAGTACCAGGTGTGTAGTACTTACTAAAAACAAACCGAGTATGCAGCTGTAACAAACTTTGTAGCTACTGCATAATGTACATACCTCTCACTAACAGCCTGTAGGCAGGGTGCTCAGTTCTATTGACAGGGTGGGGTGCCGAGCTTGTATAATGGTAGGGGAAATACTGCATATTACATACATACAAGGTTCTTACCAGGTGGGTTCCAAGTACGTACTAGATAATTAAATACAAACTATGTATTTACCAAGTGTGCTCTAGGTAACTACTCGGTATGTACACACACATACTTAAGTACCATGTAAGCACTGGTTACATACCAGATACTTGCCTAGTGTGTATTGAATACTTAGTAATACGGTACATATTTGGTACTTACAGAGTATGTACCTGGTACCAGTGGTATGTGGTACTTATCGAGCACATACAGGTTCTTATGTTCATGTGTTGGCACCAGACTCACCTCTTTTGTCATGAGGTCCAGCGTCTCAGACGGGTACAACTCGATGATCTGCAGCAGGCGAGGGAACTTGAGTCGAGCCTCCTCAGAGTTCATCTTCAGCGCTTTCAACATGCTCTCCACCACGTGAACCGGCAGCGCCACAGCTTCCGGAAACGGGATCTCTGCAAACAAATGTATAAACGACTAATTGGATATGGGAGGATACATAGTACTTAATAAAGATGGTCCGCTAACAGCAGTTTAGAGCACGTACTGAATATATTTCCAACATGGCTGCACAATAAACCAAATATAAATGTTGACCTGTATCGCTCTGCTCCTCGTCTCGCAGCAGCTTGTCACAGAAGTTTGCCAAAGCCATGTACGTCTCTGTGACGCCGCCGGTCTCCACAAAGTCCTGTGCGAAGGACTGGAGCTCCTCATCAGCCTTCCTGTTTGCCTCCCGTAGCAACTTGAGCGCATGCAACTGCAACCCCACCTCCACTTCCTGCAGGAAAGGAGATCAATCGGAAAGTTTTTAGATCTCATTTTGAATACAAAACACACTTTTGTTTCCAAACTAAAAGTGGGTAAAGTTGAGCACCTTTGGGTTTTGACTGGGCCAGGCAGCTCCTGAAAGCTGAACAACTCTCTCGGTTTTCTCGCGGTCAATTGTTCCCAGGACCGATGGGCTTCGGCTGACAGCCGAGGCCAACACGTGGAACGATGTACCCAGGAGGATCTTCTGGTGTCTGAACACTTTGGCTGAGGCACTCTGACAGTCAGCCTGAAGCTCCTCTGCAGAGAGACGGTAATCCGTTCATCATGAGCGTGAACTTCCAACCTGATGTGCGTCAGGAGGTTCTTCTTACCCAGCAGCGGGATGGTCTTCAGCATGGCACCGATCTGCTCCACAGAACCCTGGGTCTGGCTGCGCTTCTGATTATAGCGGCTGAAGCTGTGGACCCAGGACAGCAGCCATGCTCGGTTAGTTTTAGCTTCTCTGTGAAGCTCCTTCAGCAGCTTGGTGGCAACCGGGAAGTTTTTCTGGAAACATTTGCAGCTCAGGATGAGACTGACAGGATGTGGTGGAACAGAACGTTCCCCTCCAGCTGCGGTTCTTTACCTGCTGACAGGTGCTGTCGGCCATGCGGAGCTTCATGTTGAACTTGCAGTCGTTCACCATCGTCTCGACGTCGCCTGCTGGGTCCTGGGACTCGTCTACGTCCATGCTGTCTCTGGGAGCGTGGACTCTCAGCTTCTCTTTGATCTTGTCCAAGAAGAAACATCTGAACCACAGAGACCAGAACTCAAACTGTGTCCAATGTTAAATAAAACCCACAACCTTTTGGTCTGGTTCTTCTCACCGAGACGTAATGATGTCATCCCACACGTTTACCGGATCCACTTTCGCATCAGGATATCGATCAGTCCACGACCCGATGAGGCGCTTCAGAGAACTCACAGACACTAACAGGATGTAGGGGAATAAATTATTGTGTTACCGAGTGAATGTTCAAGATGGCCGCCACAGCCAGTCAACCTTAGAAATGCTATTAAAGGAGGATTCTTACCGTCTCCTTTGATGAACAGCAGGAAGTCCTGGATCTCGATCAAGGCCTGCACCGACTGCAGGACGGTCAGCCGACTCTGAGTCAGGAGTGTGTCCACACTGGAGTAACTCTGAGACACGAGCAGATCAAACATAAATGCAAACGCCTCAATACTCGAGCTAATGCAGAGTCACTGGTCACTCTGTTGTTTACTTTTCGATACGTTTATTTTATTTACAAATACTTTTGCCGTTGAAATAAACTTCAGAAACATTGTTCTCAGCTTCAGCACCTTGTTGTCTTCTTATGTTCCTTTTAGCCAGCCAGTTAATACATTTGGCTTTAAACTATCCATTTGCTACTTTTAGCTAGCTATTAGCTGCTGTTTTGCTACTTTTAGCTACTTTTTTGCTATATTTAGTCAGTCTTTTGATACTTTAAGCGTTTAGTTACTTTATAACTTTCAGCGACCGATCCGCTACTTTTAGCTTTCAGTTAGCCTTTTGCTACTTAGAACTAGTCTTTAGCTTTTTTTTAGCTAGATTTCTGCTAAATTTTGCCAGACTTTTGTTACTTTTAGCTTTCAGCTAATTGTCTGTTACTTTTAGATTTCACAGATGAAATCTTATAGAAGCAAGACGCTATAATTTTGCCACTTTTAAACTGCCTTTTCTACTTCTTTGGCTACTTTTGGCTTTAAGGTAGCATATCACAACTTTCCATTTTTAGCATGTTTTTATTTACACGTTTAGTCAGCTTTTGGATACTTTTAGCTACCCTTTTGTTCCTTTTAGCTTTCAGCTACTGATCTGCTACTTTCTGTTCTCAGTTAACATCTTGTTTCTTAAAACTTATAATTATAATTTCACCACCTAAATAGTCTTTTTCTACTCTTAGCTTTAAGGTAGCCTTTTAGCTATTTTTGCCTTTTAGGTAGAATTTTACAACTTTCTCCTTTTAGCCAACTTTTTGTCATATTTAGCCAGAATTTGCCCTTTTGCTTTGCTACTTTTAGCTAGCCTTTTGCTACTTCTAGCTAGATTTATGTTACATTTAGTTTATCTTTAACATATAAGAAAAAATGGCCTATTTTTACTTCTAGCTAACCTTAAGCTACAATTAGCTTTTAACTGACCTTTTGCTACTTTTAGCTAAAGGTTTGCTACTTTTAGTTTTTAACTAGCATTTTGCTACATATGGCATTTTTACCTAGCGTTTGACTCCTTCAAGCATTGAGCTAGTGCTCTGTTTTTGTTTAGCTTTAACAACTTAGTTTTGACTCCTGCTAATTTCAGCAAAGTCATTCAGCGCTCAGCGTTCCCACTGGATTTTGGCAGAAAATTAAAGTTTTCTGGTTTAGCTCGTTTTCAGCTAACTCAAAGCACATATGTGAGAGACCTCCATGAAGAGCTGCATGGCGTGGTTGGTGTAGAACTTGGCACGGTCGTAGTCCTCCTGCAGGATGTAGAGCAGGCCGAGCTCCCGGCTGTAGCGACTCTCCAGCAGCTTCTTGCGCTCCTCCACTTTCATGGCGTTATCAACGAAGCTGAGGAGAGCTTGGTCACCCTCGCCTAGCTGCAGCTGCTTCAGCATGCTGCGGATCATGTGCTGCAGGTACATTTCCTAAAAGAAATCGAACAGAAAAGACGTTACGATGATTAATGGCTTTAGCTGTGATATTTAATAAAGAGTGCCATATTGAGGATCCTGGTTGTGAGGTACCACCTGGTAGAGAGGCTCGGACCACATCTTCTCCAGGTTTGGTGGAGCATTTTCATCGATGTACACCGTGGAACAGTACTGAACAGACTTCCACTCAGTCAGCTGACTGTAGGCCTCCAAGGCAGCGATTTCCCAGAAATCCTTCTCAGACTCCGTGGGTTCTCCATCAGGCCAGTCTTCGGTGTTCAGGGCCTGCGAGGACAGAACTTCTGTATAAACACTACAGGATTCAAACAGGCAGCAATGACTGTCCCTGCTGGGCTTCCGTACCTCATTGTAAAGCGTCACAGCTTCTGCAAAGTCTGTGTTGGCTTCAGCCTGAAGAGCAGCGCAGGTGATTGATTTTGTCCCAACTTTACCACCAAAGATTCCTCGAACGACGTCGTAATTCTCCAACGATCTGTAAAGTCTGCAAAGAAAAAAATCAGTGTGAGGCGACGTGCTTAATGACGTTACTGAAGTTAGCTAAAGAAGCCAAAACTGACATAAAACAAAGAGAACCGATAAAATAATCAAAACATTAGCTAAAGCTATTATCCGTAAAACCATAAGCTGAAGCTAAATCTAGAAAAAACAATAACTTGTAGCTGAAATGAGTAAAACTGTAGAGTTGTATAATTAGGAAAACTACACCTAGAAGCTAAACATGGCAAAAAGTAGCTAAAAGTAGCACGGTAATGTTAGCAAAAATGTTGCCTGAAGCTAAAATTCAACCAATGGCTAAAAGTTAATATTAGCATAAACATCACATCATCATACAGCACCTTAGACTGAGGAAGTCTTTCGGATGAAAGACGAAACATAGACATTTTTTTGCTTTGTTTTGTTTTTTTGAATGTCCAGAGGACCAGATTGAACTTTTTTGGATTAGCATAAACAGTTGCTAAAATGAACAAAAAGTAAATAAAGCAAAATGGTAGCTAAAAGCTAATGTTCACTAAATACTAATTAAAATAAGCAAAACAGATGCTTAAGCTTAAATCAACAAAACAGTAGCTAAAATTACCAGAATGGTAGATAAATGCTAAAAAGAGCAGAATGATGGCTAAAAACTGAAATCTGCAAAACTGTGGCTGAAAGTAATAGAATGGTAGCGAAAAGTAGCATAAAAAGATAAAAATAAAGCCGGCAGCCAAAGCAGATTTCTAAAAGAACTTCATGTATAATTTGATTATTATTATTTTTTTAAGTTACTAAATATTTTGAAAAGTGTAAACAAAATGCCACGGCACACATCTCCTGACTGAGCTAAACGTTTTGACATCTGATTGGTTAAAGTAGCAGAATGTACAATGAAGCACCACAGATGGAGGACGTGATGAAGACCCACTTGGCGAGGTGGATCCATTTGTTCGTGTCTGGAGGGATTACTTGGCGCCCTCGTGAGCGTTTGGCAGGACGTTCTTCTGGTCCGCTGGCCCGCAGCAGACCCTCCTCCAGCAGCAGGATGCCCGACGGCTGCTGGAGACTCATCAGGCAGGTGGAGCTGACGACCACTGGATCCAGCTGCTGCAGCTCCGGGTGCCGGTAACACATGTCCTGACAGAACCAGCAGCAGGGTCACCAGCTGACAACTGCTGGACTCATGAAGGAGAACATGATTCGGATGTTTGGTACCTGCACGCATGCTATGAACGGAGGGAAGCAGAGCGTGCTGCTGCTCAGGAAGGAGTTCATGTTGCAGCGCAGCTCCTCTTTGATCCTCCCGCTCTCCTCTGGATCCAGGTTCTTCTCCATTTCTTGGAGGACGCCCACAAAAAGGGAGCTGAACAGCTGCTTCGCTAAAATCGGGTCTCTCTAAGAGAAGAAATCATAACGGAACGTTCACCAAAAGACTTCGATAAATTGTGCAATGAAACTGGAACTGAGTTGTTGAAGCTAAAAAATGCAAAACACAAACTAAAAGCTACAACAAGCTAAAGACTAGCTAAGCTCTAATGCTAGTAAATTGTAGCAAAAGGATAAATGCAAGGTAAATGCAGCAAAACAATCGTTAGAAGCTAAAAATGTCTAGAAGCTAAATAAAGCAAAAGGTTGGCTAAAAACTAAAAGTAGCAAAAGGCTAGCTAAAAAATAATGCAGCTAAAAGCAATTCAAAAGAATCAAAAGATTAGCTAGAAGCTTAAATTAACCAAAAACTAATTAAAAGCTAAAAACAACAAGAGGTTTGCTAAAAGCTAAAGTAGCTAAAGGCAATTTAAAAGAATCAAAGGATTAGCTAGAAGCTTAAATGAGAAAAAAACTAGTCAAAAGCTAAAAACAACAAGAGGTTGGCTAAAAGCTAAATTAGCTAAAGGCAATTTAAAAGACTCAAAGGATTAGCTAGAAGCTTAGCTTAACCAAACTAGTCAAAATCTAAAAAGAAAAAGAGGATGGCTAAAAGCTAATGTAGCTAAATGCACTTTAAAAGACTCAAAAGATTAGCTAGAAACTTAAATTAGAAAAAAAAATCTAGTCAAAAGCTAAAAACATGAGGATGGCTAAAAGCTAAATTAGCTAAAGGCAATTTAAAAGACTCAAAGGATTAGCTAGAAGCTTAGATTAACCAAACTAATCAAAAGCTAAAAAGAAAAAAAGGATGGTTAAAAGCTAAAGTAGCTAAATGCCCTTTAAAAGACTCAAAAGATTAGCTAGAAGCTTAAATTAACCAAAAACTAATTAAAAGCTAAAAACAACAAGAGGTTTGCTAAAAGCTAAAGTAGCTAAAGGCAATTTAAAAGAATCAAAAGATTAGCTAGAAGCTTAAATTAACAAAAAACTAGTCAAAAACTAAAAACAACAAGAGGTTGGCTAAAAGCTAAAGTAGCAAAAGGCAATTCAAAATAATAAAAAAGCTTAACGTGACAAAAGCAAGCCAAAAGGCTAGCTAGAGGCTAAACGAAGAAAATACTAGCTAGTACCTAAAGAAGTGTCTCCCCTACCATAATCCATGCAGGGTCTTACCTGAGCGAGAGCCTGAAGAGGAGCGATGAGGTTGCTGAAAGGGATCTGGATATCTGGAAAGTCACCGGATCTATAGTTACGGTACAGAGTCACTTGAGCCTCTTTTCTCAGCCTCTGATCAGCTTTTTCCTCCTGTGGGACGAATCCCAGACCAGAATTAAACCACAATCGAACAAACCAACTCAAGACCAGCAGTACTAGCTTTTAGCACATTATCTAGAAAACTGACTGAGTCAAAGCCATTTTTGTGTTTGCTAAGGTTGATTAGCAGTGGCGGCCATCTTGAATTGGGTTGACTCCACCGTTGATCCCTTCTCGAGTGCATCTATAGATACCTTTTTCTGCCTCTGTTGTTGGATTTCCTTTTGAGCGAAACTCAAGCTGACTTTCTCCTGATCCTTGAGGAACCTGCGTCTCAGCCTCAGAATGTTGTTGCGCCGCTCGTTCTCAGCTGTTTGTGAAGAAAAAAAAATATATATATATATTATATATAATAACGGGTATAGCTTTATTTCTAACCGGAATAAAAGTCCTAACTGCTCACATAGTGGATCTGTTTTCAAACGTTTAAAAGTGGTAAATGTTTCCTTGATGGCTAACCTCGGGTGCGACTATCCACCTCATCCGTCGATGCGGTCAGGCGCCTCAGACCGAAGCCTTCTCCGACCGGTCGCCTCGCCGACGTCTGCCGCTCCGACTTCTTATCAAACACGAGCAAGGAGGACAGGGAGTCGGAGCTGAGAGAGTAATCGGCCATTGTGTCCACACTGCTGCCCGTCAGCCAGTTATAGGCTGTACGCCGACCTGCAAAAGATCAAAATACAATCCCAGATTGTGTTTGTAACCTCTAATCCAGTGGTTCCCAACCCTGGTCCTTGAAGAACACCATCCTGCATGTTTTAGTTGTTTCTCTGCTCCAACACACCTGATTCAGTGGTTTAATTATTTCCTTAAATTTGACAGAAGCCTGTTAATCCCCTTTCATTCAAAACAAGTGTGTTGGAGCAGAGGGATAACTAAAACAAGCAGGGTGGTGTTCCTCAGGGACCAGGGTTGGGAACCACTGATTTCTTATCCAGCGCTGGTCGCAGCAGTACCTGGTGTTTGGGTTTGGCTGAACTCTAAAGACGTCTGGGTGGCTCTGAGCTTCCCCTTCATGGATCCAGACTGGGAGGCTGCCGTGCTCTCCGAGCCCTGAGAGCTTTGGGTTTCCGCAAACATGGGGGTCATTACTGTGCTCCTGAAGCGCCAGTTCGAATCAATCACACAGTCCTGTAGAAACGAGTCAAAACCTCATCAGCGCCATGTTTAATGAGCTCTCCCTTTCATGGCGGTGAGCGATAACCATCGACGCTGACCTGGAAGGTGCACTCTGACAGAGGATACTCAAACATGTTTCTCTTGAAGTCAGGACTCCGGCTGGTCATCTCCAGCAGCAGATTGGTGGCCAAGCTCAAAAAGCACCTCTCTATTTGGCAGGAGTACAGAGAGCGAAGCACCGTCAGCATCCGCTCCAGGGTGGCAGTGGGGAGGCGCTCCTCCTGACTCCAGAAGTTACGGACGTAAAGCCTGAAAGCACATCAGATGGAGAAGGATTTCAGAGTAAATGTGGAAAAAACAAAAACACACACACACACACACACACACACACACACACACACACACACACACACACACACACACACAA